CCAAAAAAAGGGGGGGGGGGGGGGGGGGGGGAGAGAGAGGGGGGTTTCTATGTCCTTAATGCAATAATAGATTGAATTACTGCCCCTGAAACACATGGTACAGTAATTGACTAAAATTTATTGAAAAAGACATTTTAAACAAATGTTTATCACATAAAAGAAATAAACAATTTCTTTTTAAAAAAATAATTTATATTATTTTATTATTCAAAATATCAATACCCACTGGAGTTAGGCTACTAAATGTTACCTCCAAATTATCTGGTAAAAATATCATCTACAATCCACGTGTAATAGAAGTCACTTGGAAACAAAGCTCACAAGGCTACTCAACACACAATTCCTTTTACAAAGGCAAAAGGTTTTCATCAAAAATGTGTTTTCTTATTGTAAGTCTGTTGATTAGTAATTGGTTTTGCAAAGCTATTAAGCAAAATTTGTTAATAATAATTGTAGTTAAAATGGATTGATTGTATTATGAAAGCAATAAGTTTTTTTATTTTTTCTTGTAAATTTACATTATAATGATTTTTTTTCAAACAAAACACTGTTTACAGGAATTTTTCATTTATTTCCTACAATGTATAATTTTTATATCTTAGTTACCTGTGTGTCAATCCACAAATATTTTTTCCAATAGATGAAAATTAGGCTAGATTTGTTAAAGGTGCATAATATTTTGAACACATTGTATAAGTAATTGAAATAATCCAATTTTACTATGGGTTCTTGATTTTCTGTTTTTTTTTTTTTTGGGGTTTTTTTTTTTTTTTTTTTTTTCTAATTTTTTTTTTTTAAATGAATGACTAATTGAGCATTGCACTTTAAGTTACTGTAACTGTAAGTAAATAGGCATGTTTGTTCCATAAAAAATAACTTTTATTTGCAAACAAACCACCTAGAAGTATAAAAGTAAGCTTTGCATGAGTACACAACTGAACGATCATTTAATTAATGCATTCGTAATCTTCTTAAGTTACTATTTCAGGATAATAAATGGAGGAATTAAGCGTTCGCCACCTAAGTTTTTTCAAAGTATTTGAACTACTAACTTCTTGTTGCTTCTCTATTTGTCCTGTATGCTGAGCCGAAGCGTTCTTCTTTTACTGTCCTGTCAGTCTTTCTATTTTAAACTTCCACATACATTGTTCCACTATTTACAATTTCAGCAATGACAGATAATTGAGTTTGAGATAATTAGGTCTAAGCTCCAGGCCTAGTAAGTAATGTTTATCATTAAGTATAATTCTACAACCTACTTAGGCGCCATAGGTCAGGCCTACATTACTTACACATTAATTGTAATATTATTATATTAAATCTTAGTCTTAATATTCAATTACTTTTAAAAGAAATGATTATTAGTTTATACAAAAGTATTATAATTGCCTTCTTTAAGAGAAGAACATAGACTACAAATGAAAACATTAAAATTAGAAACTACACTTTTGAAAAAGTAAATCAGTTTAAATACACACGATCTTTAATTAATCCTTATTAAATTAAAGAAATGAATTACTAACAGAACTTAAATATCGTTCGGAGACAAGGTATATTTCAGTATTCATTAACTATTCAAAAGTAAAAGCATTACAAAACTATATAACAGTAGAACCCGGTTATGTCGACGGCATCGGGGTTTTCCAAAAATCGTCGAAATAACCGATGATCGAGATAACCGAAAACCAATATGGTGGCATTATATTTACATGTGCTTGAAATTTCTTTAAGTACATGATGTGCGTTAATAAATGCGATTACTTCAGTAAAAAATTAATTAACAATTTTTGTTAAATATTACAGTTATTTAGAGCAAATTTCAAAATTTAAAAATGAAACTAGAATAAACTTTTTAAATTAAGTACTTTTTGAGCTACAAATTTTTAAAGTCCGAATTTGTTTGGCATTTTCTACTATGGTAGGGTGACCAAACGTCCCGTAAAAACGGATTGTCCCGTTTTTGAAACGATCGTACCCGTTGTCCCGAAAAAGTCTCTCGGGACGCCTAAATGTCACGTTTTTTTGTTGTTTTTTTTTTTGACCAAACACATTTTCTAATCACTAATAATAAAGGTCAATACTCGGAGGTCGAGATTTTATCTCTTAGTACCTTGGCCATGCAACATGGCCTAGTAGTCCCTGGGGACTCCGGCCATGCCACACGGCCTTGAGTAAGCGGATTTCTGGGCAGGTTGCTTCCACTCATGAGGGGACGGTTTTGCGTCACAACCCCCCTTGCCCATTGAGTCTTACGGTCTGGACGTTGGGTTGGAACGGCTTTGCTTCCTCTCCGGGGATGGCGTTGCGTTGCCTCCCCCACCGCCCAGGGAGCAGGGCTGCCACTCACTTTTTTTTAATTTCCCAAGATTTGGTCATGAAATTTCCCAAGATTTCCCAAGATCATAAAAGTATATAGGAGTTTTTTTAAAGGTGGGGGCGGGGGGGGGGG